AATATTGCTTCAATATTGTAGTGAAAATTCATATTGAGCTCAGGTTGAATCAATATCCCACCAATATTATTTCAATATTGTTCATCCAATATACTCTCATATTGGACCAATATTATTTTTAACATGTACGATATATAAAATTAGGTTTCAGCCAATATGATGCCCTGGGATATTACAATTCGGGAAAACATTATCTGCTGCCGATTTTCCACTGTTGTTCATTTAAACATTTTTGTTTAGACGAAAACTCGTACTTTTCATTATGAAACAAATTCTCAGACCTATAGAAAAACGTACTTGGATCATTTCCTTACATAGTTTTTCGAGTTGTTCGACTTTTAATTTCAATTGACATTCAACCACAACGCGTCGGAAGTATACAGGGTGATTCAGGTTTTAGAGCACAAACTGAAATGGGAGGTAAATCTCATCATTTTAATCAGAAAAATAAATAGGTATATACATCAGTTCGATCTCGTTCAGTAGCGGAGCTACAGGGGGTCAAAGTTTAATTATTCTTTTCTATCGATTGAAATCTCGCTTACTTTCCAAGATATCATTTTGAAATTGGGTTTGGTCGATACTATTTAGAATATCATCATTTCAAGCCATTTTAAGATTTTCAAAATCTACAGCGTGATACGGTTTTGGGAGTAGAGGCTTCTTCATCCCCCCAAACTTTTTCCTAGTACGCCTCTGAAATCTTTTTGTAATAAAATTGTGTGGATCGTTCAATTTAGAGGCTTTTCTGTTCCTCAATTTTTTTTAGAGAAACGAACAGTTTTTGGGATAATTAAGCATATACGTTCTGAAACATGTTAATTTTGCCTATGTTTCGCTTAAATTTCATTTGACTGAAAAAAAAAACTCGACTTTCTACCCTCCGTATTTCCGTAACTGATCCAGATTGGAGTAGTGATTGCAATTTCAGTGAGCACATTGCATTGTATTCTCAACGAATTTTGTCAAAGCATTAAATTTAAGCGAAACATAGGCAAAATTAACATGTGTTAGAACGTATATGCTCATTTATCTCAAAAACGGTTCGTTTTCTCGAAAAGAATTAGGAAGCAAAGAAGCCTCTAAATTGAACGATCCACACAATTTGATCAGTGAAAGATGCCAGAGGCGTACGACGAAAAAGTTTGGGGGGATAAAGAAGCCTCTACCCACAAAAACCTATCACCCTGTAGATTTTGAAAATCTACGAATATCTTGAAATGATGATCTTCTAGGAAGTATTGACCACACCAAATTTCAAAATAAAATCTCAAGAAGTAAGCGAGATATTTCAATCAATAGAACAATATTATTGAACTTAGACCCCGTAGCTCCGCTTCTGGACGAGATCGGACTAATGTTTATATCAACTTATCCGATTGAAATGATGAAATCTATCTCCTGTTACAGTTTGTGCCTCAAAACCTGAATCACCCTGTACAGGCAATTCATGATTTAGATATATTGCGATCTGTTGAAATATGAATATTTGGAAATTATTTAGCTCGCTGAAAGGGTATACTGACCTGAAATTCTCAGGATGATGTGTATTTCATCAACAATTTGGTAGTTACATCTATCTGTATTTCAGAAGCTCATGATAACTATTATTATTGCTGATAATGCTCAATATGCACAACTAGAGACGTTTGAATAATTATGTACAATATAATTACAGATATAATCAAATCATAACATTATTCTGGTAAACAGAAGACCTCAATGGAGACAATAAAAAATTATGTGAAAAAATGTTTGTTAAGAAAACATACCACACTAGGTAATGATTCAACCTTTGCATTAATTTGTTATGGAAAGACTTTGTAGCAATGGAACCAGTCATTGTTGTCACATTTCGTAACAACATTTCAGGTGCCTTTCTTAAATCCTAATCTAAAATAACCAACTAATCTAAAGCTAACATCTAATTTGGTGATAACGATCTGATATAATTGAATGATCTCAATATTTGGAAAAAAAAATAATATCAGGTGACAATCAAAACCATTCCAATGGAGATGGAATAAACCACAATCAACCCCCAAAAAATCGACTGATAATATTGATAATGATTCGAAAACTAGGATATTTCCACAAGCCTTGAATTCAATAAACAACAATGGTAGTAATATAATTCAAGCGTGGAATTAGCCAGGTAGGTATAGGTATTTGTTTTTCTTCCGTTATCTACCAGTTTTTGTTCTTTCAATTGAACACCAATGAAAATGAGAAAGAAGTCAATACAAGAATTAAGCTATGCTTTCTAGTGATATGAATGCCTTATATCTGATATCTCAATATGATTCGAAAGTTCCTAATGCATATTGTAATTTATGGTTGTATCTACTTCATAAGACATAACTTGTTATACTGTTATAGCAAGAAGATTTTTCACAGGCAATTCAAATGCTATTAGGTGAAATTGTATAAGATTGCATAAATGGATCAGAGTGCGCAGATATAAAACGGAGAAGACGATCATTAATGCTGAAAAACTTTTACACCGAGAGAAATATCTATTAGCTGTTATACGAAATTGTATAACCATTAAAAGATTTGTGAATTGAATAGTTCATAGTTCCCATTTCACTGTTATCACGTTCATTTCACTGTAATCACGTTCATCATTTCAAAGAAAATCATATAACTGTGAAATATCACTTATATGAGAATGAAATGACACTTATATAGGGGTCAAATGACATTACAATGCTATACGATTATATTATAAAAATGAGAAGATACTCATATAAATTTGACTTGCTTCCATTTTGATAGTCGAATAAGAAGCATTTCAATATTGAATAGTGATATCATGAAAATGAAATAATACTCATATCAATATAATTTGCTTTCAATTTCATAGTCAAATGATTGCATGGTATTTCAGTATTAGGATGATTAATTTTCCTCTAGGAAAATGAAGTGGGTTGAAACTCTTCGAGGAATATATTGAAGACATATATACTTGGTTTATATACTTACCCCCAAGTAAAGTTTTTTTGAAGAACTACATGGCATTGAAGTGCATCACAAGGACGATATACTCAGTTTACAATATCTCAGTTTTTGTAGGACAAAATTGCTTCCAATTTGGACTATTTGTTCTCATTGTCAGTGCATTGGATTATTAGTTAACATAGTGGCCAAAAATGTATGTACACAGTATCGTCAGTAAATTAGAGTTCACATTCGCAGATTTCGTTTCATTTTATTTACTGTTATTGCCACTTGAGCGTCACAAAAGAGCGTTGAGAGACTTTTCTTACGACGTTTTCGAGATCTCCAATGCCCATGATAGTAATCATCAATCTTGGACAAAATGTATACGCAATACAATCTATCACCGATAAAACTGTTCAAATCCAAGCTTTTGCCACTTAGTGAATAGTGAGGTGAGTTAAAAAAATAAAAGTTCTTCCAATTTGGAAGACATTCCGATACATACACTCACCGATATATCGTGAAAACACTATAACGCCCAGAGGCAGTTCAACATTCTGTAGTGCCTCAACAAATCTTGTGCAATATATGAACAAATATGTCCCTAATATTTCTAGAAGATCTCTCAACCACTTCACTTTTTCGAAAAAAAAATATCACTCTGCAAGGAGAGTTCACGAGCTGTCGCGAGCTAATATGTCCTTTCATGTCAGGAATCCGGAGACGATTAACGATTCTCATCGAACAAGTGTTCATAGGTGAGTGAGATTAATCATTGAGGTAAACGAGTATGACAAAGATGGAAAATGATAGAAGGGATGAAATTAAATGATGATTGTTCAACTGTGAAATGACATCTTTCAGGATTTAAATGATTATTTTCAAATTTCCATCTTTTAACTATAATCTTGTCTCATTTCGAATCTAAAAGATAACTTTTTTGCAATAAATAGAGTGATTTGAAAGGGTGACCTGTTTCACGATGAAAACGTGAACTTTTCACGTTCATCAGATAACATTTCGTGGTTAAAATGTTTCATTTGGCGGTTACAAAAAGTTTTTAAATAGAGACATGTATAACTGGACTTTTCTCGGTGTATTAGGCTGTCCTAGAATTTCTTATGACGCTTATACACGCTAATAGCTTGAATCAACTGAGAAAATTGATCTCTAATTCCTCTTAGCTTTGAAATTCAGTTATTGGATTTTTTAAAATATTATTCAGCAAGATATTTTGTCAATTCTAAATACAATTTGGTTAATCGAAGAAAATAATATATATATTGTTATTTTAATATATTCGCTCTCTGAAAAACTGAAAATGTTGTCTCCTGAATGGAATGATATAATCATTCCTATAAACAGAAGCGTTCATGAGAGCCGATATTGTATTATAGGAACAAAATAGTCTTCGTTTATTCAACCAATTCCTGCCGTTAATTTGGATCATTAATGAGTTACATCCAATGCATTTTGAATTGAAAACTGATAAAAAACATTTGTTGCGGTGACGAAATATTTTGTCGTGGATATGTGACACTCAGATTTTGTTGAATTCACAAAAATTTTGTAGTTTCAAACGATACATTTTTTCTGTGTACAGAAACAAGGCTTCACGAGATGAGATTCATCGACTAGGACTAGGACTCTTGATCGCAGAATTAACACCCCCCTGGTTAACACCAGCCAACTCCATACCGCGTGGAGGATTGTTTCATATTATAATCTTATATTGAATGTGTTTGTTATGTTGGAATTTGTATATGTATTAGGGAGAAAGTAATGAAAAAATAAATTCAAGGAGGTTCGTGAAAATTCAATCACAAGATAGTAAGTTCGCATCTCCCGGAGCAAGAATTCCATCAATTCCCCTCTCCCTACTTTAAAATACTAGGAATATTCTCCGATTATCCAAACCAGTCCATTTCGAATGTTGATAAAACGTTCCTAGAATATTTATATCATATTAGGATATTCTGAGAATTTCAGAATATTCACGAAGGATATCCTATATGAACGTTCTATGAATGGCATTGTGCTATCTGGATGCGTGCCATTGGGGATTCCATGAATGACCTCCGAGAACGAATCTACACGTTATCCGTTTCAATAGAAGCAACGATCAATGTCACAAATAAACCATCACCCAATATTCGACACCGTCAGGTCCTCGCACAAGAATCCTCTTATTTTATCTCATCTTTCCCGACCTGTTAGTCCTTCCAGCACGATGCCCTCCACACAAGATCCTCTTGAACGCCTGCCTGAACTCCGGACTGAAAATCGTATAGATGACAGGATTCAAGGTGGAGTTGAAGTAGCCCAACCACAAGGCGAAACTCATTATGTACCCGCTGATATTGCAAGACTCCCCGCAGAGAGGCAACAGGAGGGCCAGGATGAAAAACGGCAGCCAGCACATGACGAAAGCTCCCGTTATGATGGCGAGAGTCTTGGCAGCTTTCCGCTCCCTTTTCGCTGCCAGGCTTTCTTTCTTCTCCTTCCTGGACGGCAGCAGCTTGTCCACCGATGCTGGACACGGTGGCATCTCCATGTGGAGGTTTTCGGATTTGCTGGATATTTCCACTCGGTTGGTGTGTTCGGGATGGCCAACGGAGCCGTTATTGGGAGCTGCACAGAAAATAGTATATTATACAGTGTGTCCCACTTACCATGCTCACCATGGGTATCTTTTTAACGGTGAGAGATACTAGGTCGGTTAAATGACGCCAAATGTGGAGTTTGTCAAGGCCAACTATAATGTGAAAAAATATTTTGATAAAATCTATTCGTTTTTGTTGAGTGATTTCGAAAAAAATATGAAATTTATACCAACTCTTCTAGAATTTGAGATATCAGCACCAACTTTTGTTTTTCGAATGCAGGTCATACCTCACTATGACTTAGTTACAAATAACTTTTTTTTTCTCTCACAGATGATATGTCGCAGTAATAGTTTTGTGTTGATAACAACGGAGTTATCGTCATTTATACAAAAACAAAAAAAATATTTGGAAGCCGTCATCTTGAATTTATAAATTTTAACAAAAAAATCATGATCTCTGATCTCAAAAATCCCACTCACCAATTTTGAATGGAATCAGACCAAATCTTGTCCGCCATCTTGGAGCAGTCATCTTTTTTAATTTCAACAAAAATTCCATAATGTATTGTCACCGAAATTGGTAAGTGGGGGTTTTTGAGGTCGGAGATCATGATTTTTTTGTCAAAATTTATAAATTCAAGATGGCGGCTTCCAAATAATTGAATGTTTTTGTATTAATGACGATAACTTCGTTGTTATCAACACAAAACTATTGAAAAGGAATATTCTCAGATAAATCATGAACATATAAAAATGGATATATATTTATATAAAGCAATACATTGAGAATTCGCATTCTCTATGTGATGAGAATATTTACTCTTTTTCAGTTAATTCAATAGAAAACAACTACTATCCTGGCTATATGCCACGACGAACATTGAATTATATCTATTGAACACACACGATAAGAGTTTGAAAATAAAATATAAAAATTTCTGAAATTGAGAATTTGCATTCTCCTTCAGACAAAAAATATGTATATACACACATCATTCTGAATATTCAACAGAAAGCAACTACTTTCCTGGCTATTTGCCACGTCGAACATTGAATTATATCTGATGAACATTCAAAAGGGGAACATGAAAAATAAAGAATAAAATCCTCCGAAATTGAGAATTGACATTCTTCTTCAAATCTGATGAATAATATGATGAATAATGATCTAGAAATATGACTTACCAATATATTCAGCATTGAAATGAAAATTCGAATGTATAGGAGAAGTATATACTGGCATGAACTCTGATCTTGATGAGCTTGAAAACGTCCAAAAATAATCATTCATATCAGTGATATGGGAAATATTATCTCTCACACACAGGTTATATGACTTTATTGCAATGAACCCATTTCGGATCTCTGAATCCTCATCAGTAACCATGATGTCCACTTATTCTTACAGCCATTCTTCATGATATACACAATTTTCATCTCTATATAATACAACTAAAATCGAGTGAAACTATAACGAAATGACATCTGAGAAATTTGTTGACATTCTATTCCTGTCATTTGGACGTTTTTGCTTTTGGGTATTATGATAAATTGACATTCATCATACAGGGCGTGTTCAATAGATATAATTCAATGTTCGTCGTGGCATATAGCCAGGAAAGTAGTTGTTTTCTATTGAATTAACTGAAAAAGAGTAAATAATATTCTCATCACATAGAGAATGCGAATTCTCAATGTATTGCTTTATATAAATATATATCCATTTTTGTATTTTCATGATTTATCTGAGAATATTCCTTCTCAACACTTTCATACCCAATCAGGGGGTTCAAACTTGAACGATGGAAACTTGTGATTTTCATAGACCTCTAATCGCAGATTCGTGATAGAGTCTCAATTCAGAATTCATTTCCACGCCCTGTATGATGAATGTCAATGTATCATACACCCAAAAACTAAACTATTACTGCGACATATCATCGGTAAGAGAAAATAAATTTATTTGTAACTAAGTCATAGTGAGCTATGACCTACATTTGAAAAACTGAAGTTGGTGCTGATATCTCAAATTCTGGAAGAGTTGATATAAATTTCTTATTTTTTTCGAAATCCCTCCGAAAAACTGCCATGAGAATGTGAAATTCCTATTTGAATATTTTCATAAATAAAGAAGTTACGGAGGAGACATGAAAATGATCAAAATCTGTTTTTTGCGAATAGATTTTATCAAAATATTTTTTCACATTATAGTTGGCCATGACAAACTCCACATTTGGTGTCATTTACCCGACCTCGTATCTCTCACCGTTAAAAAGATACCCAGATACCCCTGTGAAAGGTTGGGACATGGCTCGGCTGTGGACTCCTGGAATAAAAACGAGTTGATTTAGGCCAACTTACCTATATCCAAAATCGTCTCGTTGAGTTGGTACAAGCCGTTGAAGTTTTTTAGGAAAAAAATAATTCTGCTCATGAAAAGAGTAGGCTGAAATCGATTTTCATAATTTTTGGCATGGCATGTTCTGTAACAGTAAGTCACGTTTTGAGATGTTTTTGATCATCATCAGTGACCTGCAAGTGTTTCAAACAACCATGTTGCCGTACAAATTTGGTGATAACTTTTCAGAGGGCGGACTGGAAGCCTACTCTTTTTATGAGCAAAATTATTTTTTTTCCAAAAAAACTTCAACGCCTTGTATCAACAACGAGATGATTTTGGATATACGTAAGTTGGCCTAAATCAACTTTTTTTCATCCCAGGAGTCCACAGCAGAGCCATGGCTCAACCTTTTACAGACACCCTGTATAGCAAACACTTTGATATCCAGAGGCGCGAAGTGCCAAAGGATATAATGCGCGAGCTATATTATAGCATTCTCACTCGAGGTATATGTAATATTTTTCCACTAATAACACTGAAAAATCAACATCTATTATCAATTCGGATTTTTATTTCCATCGAAATTTTGATATATCATGTATAGCCTAGGAGTACAGATGTCGAACAAACTGAAATGAAATTCGACTTGGCTGGATTGAACCCGATCGTACGGTTTGAAATTTTGAATATCGCCCGAACTTTTTTAAATCCATAGAAATGCATAAAAATGCAGAATATCAAGAAATGTCGATATTTCACACCCTGTATAAGGATGGTCAGAAATTCCAAAACCAATTCGAGATATTGACTTGAAGATTTGAGAGAGCTCCTAAATTTATTCGCTTATGTAACACTCTTTTTGACTTCGTGGTATGTCATAACTAGAAAACTTCGAGAAGTTTTGAACGATGTATCCTAAACAGAAAGGACGCATCTTTTGAACACTGCATTCCTATTGAAAATTGGTTCATTTGCAAAAAAGTTATCGTATTTTAAAAAACGTCGAAAATTGGAATGGTCCACTTGATTCTTTGAGGACTCCATATATTTTTCTCCTGATCAAAATTTCAAGAAAAAAAACTATTTTTCAAATATTTCTCAACAGAGGCAATATAAGTTACATTTCGTTTTGGAACTTATTTTTGATATAGAGGCGATGCCACATATAGGTGAAGTTTGATGCTGTGAAGGTCCCGGGATCGATTCCTGCCACGTTGATCTATTTCGTTTTTTTGATCAAATGAATATATTCAAGAAGTTATTTGTATCAACCTGAATCTGGAAAATGTTATGAATTTGAGTCTTTGCTTCAAGTAAACATATTCTACTAGTGAGTAAATTAAACAATGTATTGAAAAAAATTTTCACATTTTGAAAAACATAATTTATTCACTTTGAATGGATATCTGCATTGTCTATCAAATTATTCGATGGTTTCAATCAACTTATAGTTTTTTTCGCCATATAAAGGGTTTTCCAATAAGCGTGCCAGAACTTCAAAATCTCACACAACGAAAACAACAATTGATAATACAGTAACTTTTATATTATTTTGAAGAGCTACCTCTGACATCATGTTCTAAAAATAATGTTGCGCCTCGACTTCGCCTAGTTTCCTGTCCTGGTGTTTCAATTTCCAATTACTTTTTCATATCACGTTGAATATTTTCCAGTTTTCCAGGGTGAGCCGAATTTGTGGTTTGAGGTTTTGAATTGTTCGGGGCCCTTTTCGGTAGACTGCAGATTTAACATTACATAGGGAATAGTCGAGAAGTATAAGATGGCAAGATATTGTTGGCCAGTTAACGTTAGCATTCATCGAAATTAGGCGTCCAGGAAATATTTCGTGCAATAACGCAATGATTTCATGGGATGTGTAGCAAGTGACATCCTAGGCAACCAGATGACGAATGTTCATGTCACTGTGACGTAGCAAATTGATGAGTTTTCGCCAGAAACGTCGCACTAATTTCTGACGTCGATATGACGTACTTTCGATGACGTTATAATCACGTCATCATTATGACGTTGAGTAACGTCACTTGGATGGTTGAAATATGACGTCAGTTTTATGACGTTGCAGGAACTTCGTGCCAATGTCCTGTTTCTCTATATTTTGGTATATGTGTGTGTATATAATATGTATATATACAGAGTGTCCCAAATTCAATGGCCTATTGAACGTTTCTGGAGTACGGGACATAGGATCATCTTGATAATTCGGTCTATTTGGTCTATTCAGTAAATAGTCCTGTTCTATCTATCTAGAATATTTTCAGCGCTTCGGCATTGCCGCTTCTATCGAAAAGTAGCAATAATTTTGTTATTTCGAATTGAACGCCCTGTATTTCAGTGTACTTTTGGAACCCCCCTGAAGAACGGATTTCATCGATCTATCACACACTAGGGTCAAGTGGGAATGATTACAGAAATATATATATATAATAAGGTGTGAAAAATGAAGATATTTCAAATTTAGTAATTTTGTGACGAAACTACATAATTATTTATTACTGGTAAAAACGGCTTTCATATCTCTATATCAACTCCTGATCTTCTGTCTACTGACATTTAATTGAAAAAAATACAGGATGATTTTTATAATTCAAAATTCTGGTCACCTTGTATCTGTTTCAATAAAATATCAATTGATGGTTGATGAAAAGTGAAGATAGGTTCATGAGATTCATTTGAACCAATGATGAATGGTTTCAACACAAAAAATTCACAAAGTGTAAAAATTTAGATTTTTCACACCCTATATATCGCTGAAACCACTATCAGTTTCTCAGGAAGAATCTGAGGACGCAATAATATACAGAGTGTTAAATTCGAAAAAACAAAGTTGTTGCTACTTTTTGACAGAAAATATTATAAGATCGATTGAGCAGAACTGATAACGTAAGGTATTACATTTTCAAAATAATCATGTTTTGTTCTCCAGGAACGTGTTATAGGCCATCAAGTTTGTGACACCCTGTATATATAGAAGTAAAATTGGAAGGAAGAAAAGTTATCATTTGTAATTATACAAAGACGCCATCGAAACGTCATCTGGTTTCCTGGGATCTGTTGAACTGTATACTGCTCAGTGATCAATTGCCCACTATACTGACAAATATTGCTGTCAAGTTTCATCTGCTCATATTTTCAGTGTAGCCTTCATCACATTCTGAAGTTCTGACACGTTTAATCGAAAACCCCAGGCAACCAGATGACGTTCCAGTGACGTCGTTTTTACGTCACTTGAATGACCAAGGTGACGTCAGTAGTCATAATACTCACGTCGTATTGACGTCATTCACTCACCAAACTGTGACGTCCGACTAACGTCATAATGACGTCAAAATGACCATTGAATTGGGCGATGATACGTGAAAAAGATTCCTTCAACATGGTGTGATCAACACCACTAGCCTCTGATGACATTATATAATATTGATTATGCATTGTTGAGTCTGCTTGGTGGGTCCCTCCTGTTTCATGTTCATTCAATCGCCTATTCAGCAACGCCATCCTTCAGTACGCATCTCCATCAGAATGCATTCAGGTACTCGTATATGTATCAAAAATTATGTAGTTTGTGTCGGCGAGATGTGAGCAAACAAAGAATAGTTTGATAGCAATGGAAAGGATGTTGGCGAATTTGGCTTCACTTTGTTGAATAATGTATATTGAAAAAAATAGTAAATTATTATTGAAAAATTTCCTAAATGACGAAGCTCACCAAATTGGTACGTCACACCGACGTGATTTTTAGACGTCATAGATACGTCACTGAAACGTCATAAGAGTAACGGTTTCAGTATTGGAATATCCAAACAATAATTTTTATATATACATAGCTTGTTGGTTTTCTAGATATACAGTGTTTCGAAGTTTTTTAGAAAAAAGTTTTTCTTCTACTTTTCGGGTATATTAATAATCAGAATGGAACTTGCAAGTTGATTCGCTTGAGTTGTACTTTTATCACATGATAATATATAAGTATCAATGGTTTAGAGGAGGTCTGATAAAAATGGACATCGACAGGACGTCCCTGCAACGTCATGAAACTGACGTCTTATTTTACCCATCTGAGTGACGTTCACTTGACGCTGAAACGATGACGTGATTATCACGTCATAGAAAGTACGTGATAGTGACGTCATAAATTGGTGAATGACGTCTCTGACGAAAAATCACCAATTAGGGACGTCACAGTGACGTGATCATTCGTCATCTGGTTGCCTGGGACCCTTCAGGAATGAGGGCGTTATTCAATTCGGATATAATTCATTCGATTCAAGAATACTTTGTTCTCTGTGTAGGGACGTTTCAAGGGAGAACGACGTTATTCTGAGTTCTGACCTTGAACGATTTGCTTCGAAATAGTGAAGGCAGTGGTCGCCTCTTTGTCCTTGCAGTCCTCTTGCTCATCCACGATTTCCATCGTCGTTGTGGTAGACTGGCCTTCCATCATGACCAGAGAGTTGACAAGCGCGTCGGCTGCTGAAGACTTTTTCTCCGTGTATCTCTTTATGTTGAGGAATTTGCGTTTGGCTAGCAGGCTCTTCGTTACTTTACCGTTGCGGTGATGGCTGCCCTTTCCTGATGGATGCTTGTCAATCTGCGAGCTGCCTTCTTTTCTTCGTCTGATTCTCTTTCTGGCAGTCTGGAATATTTTCCAATACAAAATGAAAATGACTAGTAAAGGAACATAGAACGTGGAACTGGTAGCGAATATTTGATATTTGACGTCTTGGCTGACCAAGCATTGTTTTTTCACGTGAATCCTATGGAGGTAGTCTGGATCTTTGAATTGAGGGATCTGTGGTGACAGGGATACCACTAACGCTATGCTCCACACCACCACAATCATCACACCTATCCTGTTACTGTTTCGTGTGTGGATGTAGTCTACATTTGTAACCGCCCAAAATCTGAAAATGAATCAAACAAAGATAAAAAGAATAGTAGATTGTTTTATTAGGATTAAAAGAGACACTTTGTTTGACAAGCGAATTTTGTATTTGCGAGGAGGAGCGTTTAGCGAAGCCGAGCGAAAGCAAAATTTGCGAGTCGAACAAGGTCACTTTTGATCCGAATGATACATGCATGCTATTTTTTCTGCAACCGTAACAATTACCTAACTCAAATAAACATGTGAAGTAACCACCAATGCCGTGCCATAATATGTATGCAATGCAACAAATATTGACAAATAATCCATGTGGTGAGAATATTCTACCTGCATTAACAGCAGGTTAAGGTTTTCTAGGATGTTAGAATTGTAGTTTCAATATAAATACAACCACAGAGTGACCCGTGGACCAGATGCTCTAATGGCAAATACCGCGCCAGTACCAGCTATAGGAACAAGACGTGGAAAATGTTAGATTAGTGAGCATATCCACAATGATTATAGTGATTATTTATTTCTCTCCATACTACACTGTGTTTGACTTGATAATCAAATGAAGCTGAACAATATCGTTGTTTGAGACAAAAAAACTATTGCTTGCCGTGATTATTCGAAAACAAGTTATCCATCCCGAGAATAACGAATGAAATACAGATCAAGCAAGTATTTGAATCTTGAAGGCTTCCCTGATCAAAACAAAAATACTTAACTGAGATGTTTATTCCCATACTAAACTATAATAAGGTGTATTCAAATCTCCAGCATGGGTATGAAATGCCAAATCTGCTGAAATCGGAAACAAATCAGGTATGCGTCTCAACCCAAATAACCAACCGTCACAATGTTGTTTATTCTTGATGACGTCCAGTAGATCCTTTTTAGTTCCTAGGAGCTAAAGATCAACTTTAGCTCCTAGGAACTAAAATTCAACTTTAGCTCCTAGGAACTAAATATGTTGCCTAGAAACATACCTATTTTTGTGTCAGTAATAGAAAAGTCAATTTAAGAGCTATATTGGTATCAAAATGGACGACTTTTGTGTCGGTTGCAGAAAAATTAATTTTCTTATGCTGACGATACAGTGTATAATTATGGGTACAGAAAATACTTGGGAAGAAACAGTATCAAATGCTGAATTTGAATTTTCAATTATAAAAAACAATCTCGATCATAACTTACTAACTCTGAATTTAAAAAAATCGAATTTTCCGACATTCACGTTTAATGATTATATGCAATCAAAAAGGATTGATGAATTGAAGATACATCCATGTTTGAGAAATGGAAAGCAATGTGACTGTACCAAATAAATTACCAAAATTGAAAAATCTATTTCGGCTTGCATAAAAGACTGGGGAGGTCTATATAAACAAGGGTTGAAACCACTTATACATATAAATTGAAGAATGTACCTTGAAATTTATCTTCAAGAAACCTTTCGATTATCCTTCCAAAATTCTCTTTGAACATTATGACATTGTATCTGTTGATCAATCAACTTTAAGAATATACATTGAAAAACATTTTCAAAACGATGATCGGGTAAAACATAAATATGACACTAAAAATAAAATCGATAGTTGAATATCAACTGAGAAATACTCATCAACTTTGATGCAATAACATGCCATTCATTTCCTCTGGGCAAAAAATCAGTTTTATTGGATTCAAGAAAAAAATTTAATCGTGTTTGAGAATTCAGAAATTTCGGAAATTTGTTTGAATATGGAATAATACTTATGCGACACGTTCTGTCTAGATAATTTCTAGATATTATAATTATGTATTCATTAGGTGAATCATACTCAATGAGACAATGCATTCTAGATGGTTAGTGGGAGGGAATAGTATATCACACACCAAGGTGGGTAGAGATTCAATCCTGTGGTGAGATTAGTTAGTTAACCGAGACGCAAAGCGTTGATATAGTTCAGAACAGAGACAAACATGATTTCCCTAATAACACACTTATGTCCCATGGATATCCTTAGGACGTCCTGTCGGGACATTCAGGACGTCCACAGGACGTTCGACTTTGGTACCGTGGACGTCCATTGGACGTCTGTGGGACGCACAAAATGTCCCACTTGAGGACCAACTAGGAACGTCCTTGAGGGATGTCCCTGGGACAACTATCGAATACCTAAATCCTACAGTATTCCTCATCAAGCACTACAGAGGACATCCTTTGGACATCCATAGGACAACCTATCAGCAACGCTGTGGGATATCAATTGGATATTTATAGGATGTCCCAGGGACGTACGAATTATTCTTGAATTTGAATTTGTCTGGGCCCCTCTAGGACCAGATCTTGCATAACTGATTAGGACATCCAGTTGAGTTGATGGTCCGTAGAAGGTCCCCAAAAAGTTTTCCAGAGGATATCCAATGGACTTACGTGAAGGACATTAACGAGGGGTACTTATAGCCTACGAGCAATCATTCGTCGGCGAAGTGTAAGTTAACGTCCTCGTAGGGACAACATATTGAAAGTACCGACTGGTACGTCTATAGGACGTTATTTCTAGGACATTGACGGATATCCCTAAGCGACATTCGAAGGATGTCCTTGAGGGACATTCCGATTGTTATACGATCCGGGAAATATTGAGGGCGTCTGTGCAGAGATATTTGAACGAATGTACCATCAGGAATATTTCATGGTTGTCTAGAAGGGACATTATATAAGATCTGAAGTCATGCCAGCATATGTACTACTCAGGACATCCGATGGATGTCCCTAAAGGAACGTTTAAGATCATATTATCCCATCAGGGACATGCCAAGGACGTCCTTGCATGGACATTCTACAAAATGTACCACTTTATCAAGACTCCTTCATCCATAGAACGGCTAGGCTCTGGAATTCATTGCCTGTGGAAGTGTTCCCAACAACATATAATCAAAAGTCTCCAAAAGTTCAAAAAAAATTCCAATACCTACCTCCTGTCCCTATCCTCCCTAGGAACGCACGATGTTCTTTGAACATTATAGGGATTCCCTCTCGTGCGCTCCAAGCGATAAAAAAAAAAAAGAAACGTGAGACGTCTAAGGAATGCTATTTCTAGGACATTTGAAATTAAGTACCAGCTGGGATATTTCGTGGACGTCCTTGTTCGGACATTGCATGAGATGTACGGGATGGGACGTCCCAAGGAAACTTATTTTTGGTTTGGGACATTCGGACGTGGATTGTACCGAATAGGGACGTCCCTAGGACGTTGTGTGCTATTAGGGTTGTTAATATGATATTCCTGGTCGACCGACTTAGTGTTTTACTGTTTTCTCTTCAAAAAAGGTATTCGACCACTTTTTCACTCAAAACTAACATATTTGAACCGAAGGAAGCCAAAACTGAATTTCCGAATAATATTTCAAGAAAAGATGGACATCTGCAGAAATTAAAAACAGTGAGATAGATGAGAAAACGAAAAACGTAATCGCATTGCAAAAATATCCAGATGTAAGCAGCAGAAAAATGCAAATAGAACACATGATCTGCATAGCAAAGAACTTTCAGCTCTAGGAATGAAAAAATAGCACAACTTCCTCAAAGTGAACAAATTGAAATTGAAGCAGTGAATCAACGAGTATGATTCGTTTCGGAAATGACAATAGTTTTGGGCAGTCAGAAAAAAAAATCGTAAGGAAGTAGAACTCAATAATTAAAACTTTTAATCCGAAAAAATAAACTTATCGATACTGAATGAAGATATGCAATCGATATTGAAGGATGAAGAACATTCAAGAAGTAAAAATAAAAAATTGTTACAATCACAAGAAGAACTACAATGTGCCAAAAATAAACACGATGAACAGCTTCTCGGAAAAACAAATGTAGTCAATGAAAATGAGGAAAAAGTGATGGAATTCAAGCTCTGAAAATTGATTAAATATTGGTCAGAGCAAACAACTATTGGTTTGAAGAACTATGTAGGCAATATGAATACAGTCGTAGAAAGCTCGAACAAATCAAACTAACGAAGAAAAAAGAGGAAGAAATCATCAGAAAAAAATTACCGACAGGTAGTTCAGGATATCAGATCCTACAACAGAAATAGGAGATGGAGATGAAGCATTATCTGCATTATAGAGTACTATGGGCGATGTGAAAACCATTGAAATTGAAGAGAACAAAGAAATAACTAAACATAACGAAGGAGACGGTTCGATATGGATAATGAAAGATCGAGCAACTCGATGTAGATATACGATATAGGATGTCCAAGGATCAGATTAAATTGAACAAGAAGATGATAATGGTGTTGACAGAAAGTGATGAATTCCTAATGAGAGGAAAGAAAAATTATATAGCCAGCATCGTCCGAAGAGAGAAATCAAACGACCGAAGAAGTTCACTCTGTATGTGGCTTATTTTGACGTCAAGTTAGTATGGATTGAAATGAAGATTGAGCTCTTGTCAAACGTATTCCCTATATTCTTTACAATATGGAACCCTTGAAAGTATCTTGTAGATACAAATAATCAAATATCTGATCATTTTTCTCAATATCTCTGATGTGTTCAATTATTCCTGTAGCATCATCTAACTCAATAGGTAGTCAGTTCATGATCTCGTAGGGGTTGTATCTATGGAAAACTCTAATGATATACGGGAAAACTCTGAGCCATCAACTCTCTCAATCCCAGCTACTTCAATATTAAAATATACCTCATACTTCACCTTATATGAAGTACATTGTCAGGTTTTTGATTGACTTTCCATATAACCATTTTTTTCAGTAAGTAGCACAATTTAACCTGCTTACCTGTCAACAGCGATGGCAACTAAGTGAAGAATCGAAGCTGAGGAACATAAAACATCAATGGAGGTCCACATGTCACATAATTCTGGACCCATTATCCAATTATTACTAATCTGAAATAGAAAACATGCACATGAATCACCATGTATTCAATTGAGAGCTAACAGATTTCATTGTCTACCAGATCAC